TTATCCTACCCCCCTAGAACCCTCTGTTATTCTTCATAACACTTGTCAGCATTATATGTTTGTTTATGTACTCGCTTGTTTAATGTTTGTCTCTCTACTAGTATGGTAGCTCTGGGAGGGTAGAATGTGTTCCTGTATTTTCACTATAAAATAACTAGAGCTGAGTCATAGTGCCTTTGACAAGCTCATTAAATGCTTTTAAGTGAATGATTCCAGAGTTTTATATTTCACAGAGAGGTAGATGTGTGAGATGATCATATATCAACGTCATAATGTTGGTTAATTCCTGATATCATATCACTTACCATTATATTTTGATAAGAAGGTAAGGATTTTTCAAGCAGTTTTCCCCTAGAAATCATTTATCTCAGCTCTGGATCTTGTCATATCTTTCCCACAAGACAGACTTTGTCTATGAACTAATCACGTCAAGTAACAAATGCAGAATTATTTACTGAATTCATTATAAGGCACATGTTTGGATTAGAGATTAAGAAGGGAATAAAAGCATGGTATTTTAACAATTTTGGGAAGACAGCTAGCTATATTTCATTTTTTAAAGAACTGAACTATGCCTCTTGTTACTATAAATACAAAGAACAAGAACATCTATATGTCCAACTTATTTGACATTATGCCTCTCTCATATGTTTGGATACTTTCAAACTTCCTGGTCAATGATCAGTGTTTCAAGATGAGCCAAGTGGTATAACCATGACATGAGCAGAATCAGATGTACCCGCCAGTCCCATTAAAGCTACAATGGTAGGGCACCTGAGTGGCTCAGTCAGTCAGTTAAGCGTCTGCCTTTGGCACAGGTCATGATCCCAGGGTCCTGGGATCAAGCCCCACATTGGGCTCCCTGCTCAGTGGGGAGTCTGCTCCTCCCTCTCTCTTTGCCCCTCCTCTCTGCTCATGCTCTCTCTCAAATAAATAAATAAAATCTTAAAAAAAAAAGCTACAATGATAGGTATGGGGGCAGCTGATGCAAACTGGGGAGAGGGATTCAAAGCACAACCCTGGTTTCATTCTTAATACCATTGTTAGTATCTTATTTAGCTAAGATCCATCCACTCCCAGGCTGGGAGTTTGCTTTAATAGAAGGTCCAAAGAGTTTCTTATTGATCCTGATGGAAATGGATTTGCTGAGTCATACAAAGAATCACAACTGAGATGATAAAACTGAGGCCATTGGAACCGTTCCATTCAAAACTGATTCTGGCCAGGAGGAGAGAGACAACATACTGGAGGAGGCACAATTTGGGGTATTAGAAGCAGTATAGTATATTCACGGGACCTGTCCAAGCTATGTTCATTAAGCAGAGTGGGGAAGAAGAGTAGGATGGCACGGTTCAAAATCCTTCAAAGGACCACTTTCTTTATTCCTGTTTTTCCGCCTAATCTCTAATTGCTGAATCTATCCTTTTAACATCATTCTGGATTTCACTTTCTCTCACCTTACTCTACTTTATACTTGATTCCTTCTGTATCCTCCCTCAGTCCTAAAACTCATGCCAACTCTATATTACAATTTGTTTCTCATTCCATCTATCTTTTACAAATGCATGTGAAAACTATGAACCACTATCAAAAGTTCATATTCTTAAAACTGTTTTTCCTATTCTATGACCAAGAAAAAGCATGAATGAAAAGAACACTGCTAACCACAATCAAGGACACACAGAATAAAGCAAAAGCAGAAATGAATGGGTTATTTTTGTTCTGTTAATATCACCCACCTCAAATGAGAAAATCAGCCATTAGCCTTATTATATAATCTGTGTGTGTGTGTGTGTGTGTGTGTGTGTGTGGTTTAACAAGATGCCTTAGTCTAGGGTTGTTTGATTAAACACTCAGGCAATGTATCACAAAGATGTGCATAACAAAATGAATGCTTCCTGAAGGAAAAGAATAAATTGTAAAGCTATACATTTTAAGAAATGTTTGATGCAAATTAAAACCACAATGAGATACCCACTCACACCCATTAGAATGACAGACAGGAAGGAAGGAAGGGAGGAAGGGAGGGAGGGAGGGAGGGAGGGAGGAGGGAAGGAAGGAGGGAAGGAAGGAAGGAAGGAAGGAAGGAAGGAAGGAAGGAAGGAAGGAAGGAAGTGTTGGTGGATATATAGATATTGGAACCTTCGTGCACTATTGGTGGGAATATAAAATGGTACAGCTCCTGTGGAAAACAGTACAACAATTCCTCAAGAAATTAAAACTAGGGTTAGCATATAACCCACCAATTCTGTATCTAGGTATATACCCAAAAGAACTGAAAGCAGGTTGTTGAAGAGATATTTGTACCCCCCCCCAAGTTTCCCACAGCATTATTCACAACAGTTAAAACATGGAAGCAACCCAAGTGTTCATTGACAGACGAACAGATAAGCACAGTGTGGTACCTATAGATAACAAAATATTGTTCAACCTTAAAAAGGAAGGAAATCCTGTCATATGGATGAACCTTGAGGACACTATGCTAAGTGAAGTAAGCCAGTCACAAAAAGACAAATACTGTATGATTTCATGAGGTACTGAGAGTGGTCAAAATTATAGAGACAGAAAGTAGAATGATAGTTGCTAGGAACTCAGGGGAGAGAGGAATGTGGAATTATTGTTTAATGGGTGTAGAGTTCCAGTTTTGTAAAATGAAAAGTTTTGTAGATGGATGGTGATGATGGTTGCACAACAATGTAAATGTACTTAATGACACTTAACTATACATAAAAATGGTTAAGATAACAAACTTCATGCTATGTGTATTTTACCACAATAAAAAATAAATCAAACTAAATTGATGATGATGATGATGACAATGAAAAAATAAAGAGTATAATTTAATGAAGACTACGTAGTGCTATTTCCTATTCCTCTTTGTGGGTTCCAGAGGGCTTTAGAAAATGATCTATATCATGGGGCACCTGGGTGGCTCAGTCGTTAAGCGTCTGCCTTCAGCTCGGGTCATGATCTCGGGGTCCTGGGATCAAGCCCCATGTCGGGCTCCCTGCTCTGAAGGAAGTCTGCTTCTCCCTCTCCCACTCCCCCTGCTTGTATTCCCTCTCTCTCTGTGTCTCTCTCTGTCAAATAAATAAAAATAAAATCTTTAAAAAAAAGAGAAAATTATCTATATCATAATCTTGAAAGCTAATAAATAGTTCTACATCAGCCAGTTATGAAAATTGGTAATTTCTTTCACTGTTAGGCAGCATGGTCAAATAGAGAAAGAAGTGGTCTCAACATTCTGGTTTGGTATTAGCCAACTGTATGAGGTCAAGACAGGCCAAAATTTTTCTTTGCTGTATTTTGCCTATTCATAAGTTGCAAAAAGAAAAGACAGCATTTCTCACAATTCACACCAACCAGATAAAGGTTATGCAATTTGTGTTTTATACAAAGGCACAAACCAAGGGGGCAAGGAAGGGCTGTAATCCAGCCTTATTCCATTCTTTAAGCAAAGCGTCCATACCAGGAGCTTTCTCCAATGGCACAGAAATATCTAACAGGTATACAGTGGCTCTACCGATATATGACAAAGTTCCATTCAGTTCATGCTATCCCCTACTCACCAAGATACAACTACTATAACTCCAGAACCTCTTTGAAATACACACTTATCAGGGCACCCAAGGTGTTCTCATTCTGGAAGTATCAAATTTGAAAGTAAATGATCTTTCTGTGGTGTCTGTGAGGTGTGAGACATTTACAGAATCCTCTATAAGTCCTTATGGAAATTTTAAAATTAAATTTAGGGCTGTGCAAGTTATGTTTTAGAGACCAGCAGAATTGCTTGCCTCTCTCATGTCTTATCATGGTACTTCTCTCTTCTAACTTGAGGCTGCTCTACTAAGGGGCAGCTTACCTTTTTGGCAGTTGATAACTTGCAATTACACAGCTTTGCACCAGTCCTTAGCTCACCAAAATCCTGCTTGTCACATACACTTATGTTATGAGGATGGATGAATTGATATACTAATACATGCAACTCTTTAGAATAAGACATGACAACTGGTATCACAGTGCCTGTGTATATATAAAACAGAAAAAATGTATATATAAAAAGCTGATAATCCATCCAGGTAGACAATGGTGAGTGCCCTGTTGAGACATTAGGCCCACCTGCCAAGCATCAGCTCTCTTCTTTAGATTTCCAGTCCCTATAACTGAAGCTGGGCTCATACCCAAATACGCAAGACACTCGTTTAGAAGTGAGGGATATCTAGTTGAAAGAGAGTTATAGCCTGGACCCACAGTTGGGCAAGAATAATCTTCAGTTAAAGATGTGAGACCAAAGGAGAAATACTGTTCAATACACTCAGGTGATATGCAAGGTAAATAAACCATATACAGAAAAATTCCATTCTTATAATTACCACTTAATTTTCTGCTTCATCTAAGTTAATTGCATATCCTAGTTACATTTTTAAAAGAAGTTTTTTTATATGTTTATAGCCAGTTGCTATCATTTTACATAATATATATGTATATGGCATTTGTTTTATATATATATATATTTATAAAAATCTCACTTGTAAAACAACATACTTATTTTAAGTAATGAAGGGAAAATTTCTAACATACACCAAACATCTTTTTTTTTCCCTCTTTTTATTTTTATTTGCCTTTATTCTGCAGAATTTACTCCCGGGCCATAAGTTTTTGTTTCTTCAGTTTCTTCTGGGATATCTTTTTCTTCTGTGCAACCTCCTCTTCTGGTTTAAGAACAATCTGCTCTTTTTCAGTAAGGATCATCTCAATGTGACAGGGAGAGCTCATGTACGGGTTAATCTGACCATGAGCCCTGTACGTTCTACGCCGCATCTTGGGGGCTTTGTTCACCTGGATGTGCTCAATGACCAGAGAATCAACATCTAAACCCTTAAGTTCAGCATTACTCTCTGCATTTTTAAGCATGTGCAGTAAAAATTCAGCACTCTTCTTGGGCCACTGACCCTATGTCCAGCCCTACTGTTTGGCCGGGGCACACCTACCAACATTGTAGCAACGGAATGGCACACACTGCTTCTGTAAAGTGACGTCTTTCAGACACTTGGTGGCTTTTCGGATATGCATACGCTTGATGGCCTGGGCAGTTTCACATGTGTTCTTAAAGTGAACACGAAGATGTGAACCTCCTGATTTATATGATTTCGTAGGGTTTTCTGGGTCAAGTGAATAGTGAACCATTTTCAGAGGTCACCTCAGGCCGCTTAGAGGAAGAGCTACACCAAACATCTTAACAAGGCACCAGATACCCTATGCTTTAATGTGCATAAAAAAAATAAAAACCCTCAAACATAAAGAAAAATAATAACCATTTAAAGATTTACATATACTGCAGAATGCTAAAGAAATACAAGAGATTATCTACAAAATATGTTTTAAAAAAGAGTAGAAAGTTTCACCTAATTAGAAATAATCTGAGTACTATGGAGAAATGATTTATGAACTGCACAACTGGAATTCAGTAAATCTATCAGAAGTACTGCTACATAAAAGATAAACTAAAATCTTGATACCTGTACTATCTCTTGTCATTCACTAGACTTAAGATTCAAGCAATACAATACGGACATGATTATTTTTAATTTATCTGCATATTAAAATCATTGCCATCTTAAAAATCTCTTGTATTACCACAATTCTTGCTCGTATTTTATCATGCCTATATAATCCTTAGAGAAAAATTATAATCATTCTTAAAAAATCTGCCATTAGCCCTCTGATGAATGTTACTAAGTGAGCATCATCACCTTATAAACTACACATCATTAATATTTTTACTGATAGCTGAACAGCCCAGGAGTCCTGCTGAGGCTATGCTGAGTCTTCCTGTGAATATGTTTTCACTGTTAGTGTCAAGGCAACTGTCTCTGACTGAAAAAACAAACAAACAAAAAACAACATTGCAGCTAAAATTTGTTTCACAAATTAATTGGACTAAAACCGTTTTTGTGTCTCAGTAATTCATCTAAAAGTTGGCTTTAGTCATCAGAGGAATGAGCCTATAATTTAGCCACAGAATGTTTAGATCATGTTATAAAAGAAGCAAAACCAGCGCAAATGATGAGTGAATTTATACCCAAAGCTGAGACTTTAACATATTTCTGACAAACAGTACTCCAGAAAGAATCCTGGAATAGAGGTGACAGATGAGTCAAGCCAGTAATTTGACAATACATCCCCATTAGACATCAGGTTTTCCAGGTTCTGGAACATTAGAGTTTTTCAAGATGACAGACAAGAGGAGATACTAGCATTTACCAGTCTTGAATATTCAGGAGTGCAACAGATTCTCTGTTGCAGAGGACATACTGTTTGTTATTGCTGATCACAGTGAGTGTCTAGATGTTTACAAAGGAAGGGCTCAAGCTACCTGTGGCTGCAAGCTATTACATGGTGCTTATTGCTTTGAGAACTGGGGGATAACAGAAGTTCCTTACTAAGTTCTCCAGTTAGAGACAGATTTGTTCTCATGGTTTTCATTCTGATAACACAACTTCATGGAGACTTAAGCTTGTCACCTATACATCAATGTCATTTATATTCTAATTCCACAAACATTGAACTGTGCCTCTAGTATATATGAGGTTTGTCCATACTAATAGATATGAGGATATAGATAAGAATGAATATATATATGTATATATGAATATAAGGATATAAAATCTATCATTTGGTCTTATGGAAAAAGCAGAAACCTAAATCAAAATTAAATTTCTGTGAAATACACTTTAACAAAAGTATTGGTATGATTATGAAGCAAGGATCCTTAAGACGTGGCAAATCCTAACAATCGGGATCTTCTCATTTACAGAGAAAGTATGTGCACCTGTAGGTAAAAGAGTTTCACCCAACACTCATCTTTTTGGTATGATAAAAGGAAGAAAATTAGCACAAATACAACAACATACGTGGACTCTATAAGAGCTCACTGATGAATAAAAAGTACCATGCACAGTGGAGCATTTTATCAAGTGATGCCCAATGCCAGTAAGGCCAGGAGTCCTTTCATATCTTGTCACTTATTGTAGTTTACAATGAATTCCTCCTACATGTCCCATTTTCTAGGCTTCACAGAGGGCTTCAGACCACTGTTATCTGGATTCAGAAAGTTACACTGTACAAAGGACTGTCAAGAAGAGAGGAGGAAATAATAAATTTGCAAATAATAAAAGAAAAGAGAGGAAAGAATTATAAATTCTTTCGGGGGGTCAGAGAAAACTTCACAGGTGAGGTGTTGTTTGAAGAGGAACTGACATCAATGAGGAAATTAGCCAGAAAGAAATGGGGGACAGGAATGCCCAAGCAGCCAGGGGGGTCTAAGTGGAGAAAGGAGAGAGCAAGGGAACAAAAGCATTGAAGTAAGAATCTCAGTCTCTTCTTATTTGGTCCCAATATTGTTTCCTTCCATTCTTCACTATAAATAGCCATGGTATACCTTACCACTGTTGGGACTTCCAGAAGCTACATTCTCCCAAATGCTATCAGTGTTCCACTTTCTACCAACATTTGTTTGATATGTGATTATGTGATTACGCCTTCACACTGGAAAATAATAGTAAGTTAATTTATGGTATCACAACATTCCCCCAAATATCTGAATAAAGAATCATCTAATGAGAATTTTAAAAAACCTAAAAAACAAAACAACCAAAAAACTAGTGGTTTTTCAGAAAGATAATGCTGGATTAATTTTTATACAGGGTTATAGAAACAATGCTTCTTGAAGGGATGCCTGGGATAGTAATTTTATTAAAAAACTACCAAGAATTATTCCTGGCTTTATTCCCAACCTTTTGATTTAGTAGACAGTGAATAAGTAATTTAGTACTTGTTTCTAGGTTTAGCATTTATGCTCACAAGTTCTTCTCCATGTTTCAGCTTGAATATCCTACTGCTAATGTACTATACTTGTTATTGGACAACAGATTTCTTATGTTTTGCTTGCACTTTTAGTTGGGTCTCTGGAATATTAATGAATAGTTTATTGGACATGTGTATGCATACACTTGCAAACATAACCACTTACTTAGTAGGTGTGAAAAAATGTAGCACCATTTACTCTGGTAATTTAATCTTACTTTTTATTGGCTATAAAACGTTCAATGAATTTCAAAATAAAAAAATAAGCATCCCAGTAAAGCTGCAGTAATTCAGATGAACTGGCTGGTCTAAAGAGCCATATTTCTTTTTTTTATTGAAGTATTATAATTAACATACAATATCCTATTAGTTTCAGGTGTATATCACAGTGACTCAATATTTTTATACATTACAAAATGATCCCTATGATAAGTCTTGTTACCATCTGTCACCATACAAAGTTATTACAATATTATTAACTATATTCCCTGTGCTGTACATTATACCCACATGACTTATTTATTTTATAACTGGAAGTTTGTGCCTTTTAATGAGCAGCCATATTTCTGATTATAGAATATTTTTCTTTCTTTTTTTTTTTTTAAAGATTTTATTTATTTATTTGAGAGAGAGAGAGTGAGAGATAGAGAGCACTAGAGGGAAGAGGGTCAGAGGGAGAAGCAGACTCCCCGCCGAGCAGGGAGCCCGATGTGGGACTCGATCCCGGGACTCCAGGATCATGACCTGAGCCGAAGGCAGTCGCTTAACCAACTGAGCCACCCAGGCGCCCTAGAATATTTTTCTAAGGAAAGGAAGCTATATTTTAAATAGAAGGCAATAAAACCTTCTTTGCCTCATTCTGCCAGAGTTCCCTTAAGAAATACCTAGGAACCTTACATCAGCAAGCTACATGCAAATTACTATGTTAAGTACTTATTTGAAATTTTACTTATACTCACTTTCTAAGCATACTGCCTATCTAGAATAGAAAGACACATTTAGGCCTAGATCACTCAAATTACTATCAATTTAAAAAATTATTCATTTATTCATGTATTTGTGTGTTATTTATGCCACCTTCCAAAAGGGATGTGGGATAGCTTATCAAATAATCTAAATTCCTCACCTATGTACCTATGTTTCTTATTCAGGCTAACATGCAAAAGAAGGAATAACAAATTTATACTTAATTGTTACCTACAAAAATCTTAGATTGCCTCCATTTTTATTTTTTTTTGATCACAACAGCTCAGGAAGATAAAATGTACTTGAATTTAATAATTGTTTACTGAATCAAAAAATATTTATTTGCTGTTTATTATGTGCAAGCCACTGTGTTAGCTGCTTAATTTACTGAAGCTTGGTCTTTTGGTTCAATGGAAATTTTTTTTCAGTAGACGATTAGGTTCTCAGGAATATAAGGCTTAATTTAATACATTCTTACAGAGCTACAGACTCTTAATTCACAGTTAGCAGTAGTTTTATCACTATTCAGTGATAAGATAATATGATCTTTAGAATGTGGATTTGAAAATAAAATATTCTTACACATAATATTCATAGGAATCATTATTGAGAGCAATTCATCCCTGGAATGTAAATGTTAAGTTCGTATAACACATGACGTTAGCATGATGTCAAAATGTAATGCATCCTCAGATACTCTGGATCTGGGGTCTAAAGTATAATGTGTGGGTTTTCTTTCACTGAGAGATTTCCTCACTTTGTGTCTCAAAGAACCCTCATTCTGGTTTTTCTTGTGTATTCTTCCCCTCTCCCTGCCTCCAGCCCCAGAGAAAAGAGGGTGTTGCAGACATTCTAAACCATTTTGAGACCCTAAAAAGGAAACCCTAGGATGTCTCAATGTCTTGCTGCATTTCCAAGTCTAAGATGGGTTGCTCGATGGATAGACTGATGGATGGTGCTATTCTGCATATCTTTAGTGTTGGAGAAAGAGAAGGAAAGGTAATTCTCTAGGAGGTACTTGTTGAAAACAATGGAAAAAGAGGTGGTAGCAAAATTCCGTTTTAGATGACCACTCAGAGGTTGTCTATTTAACTACATTATTCAAGTCTGAGTATACCTGTACTCAACTCTTTCCTTCATAAAGATCATAAGAAGCAAATTTAGCATAGTGTCATATATCCCCCAAATATATTCAATATCAAGATCTGATTTTGCTTAAACAAATTTTCACATTAATCAGTCCTAGGGGAAAAAGGGAGGAAAAGAATTTAGTGAAAAATATTATAGGTTGTGGTAGTGTAAAAGGAAGCTAGCCTAGAATTTAAAAATTCCTTAGTGAATCCATGAAATAGAGACTCCCCGTGCAGATAACTAAGTTTCTTTTAAACTTGCACTTGTATCTATTAAATATCTACTTTCCATTTATAAAATGTTTCCTATATTAATTCTTTATATTGAAGCTACTTTACCGCCTTGGTAACCAAATTGGAATAGATTAATATAAAATAGGAAGATTTTCACATATAAATGAATTCTCACCCTCTTAAGGAAAACATCAGCCCTACCCTCTAAAACTGTTGGTGGGAATGCAAACTGGTGAAGCCACTCTGGAAAACAGTTTGTAGGTTCCTCAAAAAGTTAAAAATAGAGCTATCCTATGACCAGCAATTGCACTACTAGGCGTTTATCCAAAGGATACAAATATAGTGATTTGAAGGGGCACATGTACCCCAATATTTATAGCAGCAATGTCCACAATAGCCAAAATATGGAAAGAGCCCAGATGTCCATCAACAGATGAATGCATAAAGAAGAGGTGGTATTTATATGTACAGTGGAATATTACTCAGCCATCAAAAAGAATGAAATCTTGCCATTTGCAATGACATGGGTGGAACTAGAAAGTATTATGCTAAGTAAGTCAATTAGAGAAAAACAAATACCATATATATGATTTCATTCATATGTGAATTAAGAAACAAAACAGATGAACATAGAGGAAGGGAAGGAAAAATAAAATAAGATGAAAACAGGGAGGCAAACCATAAGAGAATCCTAACTACAGGAAACAAACTGAGGGTTGCTGGAGAGGAGGTGGGTGGGAGATGGGGTAACTGGGTGATGGGCATTAAGGAGGGCACTTAATGAGCACTGGGTGTTATATGCAACTGATAAATCACTGAATTCTACCTCTGAAACAAATAATATCCGTATATGTTTATTAAACTGAATTTAAATTTTAAAAATTTAAAAAAAGAAAGAAAACATCTGACCCTCATTCTTTGAACGTGAAACATTCCAATTCCTTACTCTGATATGACTTTTTCTCTGTGCCCTTTACTCTCGCCATCATCCTTGATTCTTTGACTTGAGGTATACTATGCTTAGAGTATCATTTGTTGGATTAAAATGGGACTGTTAGATTTACAAAGGGAATTTTAGGTGATTTAAAAATTCCCCTTTAGGAATTTGCATCTTACGATACTTGAAAGCTACAAAATCACTAAACTTAGGAAGCATCTGAATTAAGAAAGCTATATAATAGGATCTATTTAATGAAGCATTATCTCTAATAGCAAAAGTACAGAAAACAACCTAAATGATCATTTTTACAATAATGGGTTAATAATTATGATGCAACAATACAATGAGATGTTACACTAAAACTAAAATTATAATAACGGGGATGATATATGAATATAAAAAATGTGTTTACAGTATAAGTGAAAATACTGGAACACGAAATAATTCAGTACATGCTTATCATTGTACAAATATAAATATGCATGAATTCTCCCTTATTTACCTATAAAACACCCTTCTCTTTCAGAGCTTATGCCATCTGCCATATTACTATCTATCACCCCCTCATCTCTGTTACCCTTACCATTATATATGGTCACTTCTAGCCCTCTCCCCCCACATATCCTGCTATTATTTTCATTGACCTCACTGTCCATTTGGTCAGCCCTTCTCACATCTATGCCTTTAGTTCCTTGAAGCAGTTTTGAGTG